TTGGATTTCAAAGTTTTTGCAAGTACCTCCATCAATTTTTCTCTTGCCTCGCGAATTCTGTTAAATTTGATAGCGCAATTATACATAATTTTATCATATGACATGCATCTCACATGTCATATTATACCCATTATGATGAAAATGAAATAACCCATTTATATTTTTCACAAAATTTCCATGCTTACAACCCAAGTTTCTTCACATGGAGATATTTCCTGAAGCTCCATCACATGTAATATCTTATGTACGAAAACCTGCTCCATCAAGAAAGTTTAATGCTGTTATAACAAATTAACTTAAAACCTTAATACCTCTTTTATCAAAAAAAAGAGTAAGCAATAGATGTCTTCCATTTCCCTGTCAAACCAACAATTAGAAAGACAAGTGTTTCTGAAGCAAGTTCTTTCATTTCAATAGGCACAGCGCTACCATGATTTATAAAACCAGAGTATTTTTCCTGGTAATATCACCCTCAGTTTAAATTTACAAATCCATAAAATCAATTAATAATGTAAAATATTTCATATATGGTTTCACTATTAGTTTTTTTTAACTTTCAAAACTTCTCCCAAACAAAACCTTGTTCACACTTTACAGAATCACTCAAAGTACGTAGTCGTAATGGATGGAGTAGTCGAAACATCTGATGCAGAAAACTGTAAACCTTTGGAAAATAAAAATTATTCGTCATATCCAACTCTTTCGCCTTTTATTAATAACGTCTACCACATTGATTCATCTCCCTATTTCTCAAAATATATTATGAAAAGCCTCACGACACCAGGAAAAATATTTCTGATACCTTCACATCTATTTTCATTTAAACCTTGCTCTTGTGTCTTTTTTTATAAGCTCTTTAATGGTGAATATTTTTTGTTATATCCTCAAATATTGTCTTATTAGTTTAATTGTCTTTTGAAGCAATTGTTTTGTAGAGAACAAGTTATTGGAAGATTCAAGGGGCATTGTTGAGTATCATCTCTTTCACTGCTTATGCTGGCACATGGTTCTTTGGAAGAAAACTTACATGGATGAGCATCCAAATGTTGGTTACTTATAAGTATAATATAGATGGTTTTATAGCCAGTTATCGAAAAGAACGTTTTGCCCCAAAATGAAAACAATGTGAACACTATCCTAGAAGTTCAAGTAGCATTTATTTTGCAACATCTATTAACATTTCTTAAAAGTTTTCAAGTTTGACATTGATGAACATTGCACGTAAAGTGGCCTGTCAGTCAAGTTTCCACAGTAAACATTACATTTTCACTAATAACAAACAAAATACTACTTTAGGTTGGGGGTTCTTCTTCAAATTGCCTTTTCTCTGTAAAATTCCTCTTCAATTTCACACTTTGCAGATGAGGATGAAATGAATAAGATATTGTTGGCAAAATGGCATTTTAAGGATCGTGAAGTTGCATTAAATAGTGTTACGTCTCCGTTTGTTAATTGATTTCCGTAAATTCGTTCCGACGAAACTTTAGCGACACAAGTCCTTACTTAATAAAACTGGTTTATTCTTTCCGAATATAACTTTACGATACACTTAATTTCAACAATCGCGCTAAAACAAACGCTATAACAACGAACGTGCTCAACTTCAATAATACTCTCTGACTGCAGATCAATTACTCACTGTCTACACACACATTATCGTCACGTTGTCACCCTCTTATATATATATACCAGATTACCCTATATCTAGTAATCTCCCGACTATTCCCGAAGGTTCGAGAGGTGGCGTGAAACTAGTCACGTGACCTCGCTAACGCAACAATAGCCTCATTGTTTTGCACCCTTAACAAACCAACGTATCTATTAATTTTTTCTTATTTTTACAATTTAACTAACACTATGCATAGCTTGAAACAATGCATTGCTTTATGTATTTTTTACCAATTTATTATTCCATTTCTTATATATTATTTTTAGTAATATCACTACGAACAGGGGCATAGCAAATGCCTCTGCAGACCATAGCGTTATAATAAATCAGATATGAAAGGAGCTCGATGAAAAAATTTGCAACCTCCATCCACACATTATGCACTATGCCTCTGACTACGAAATATTGATGAGAATAATTAATACATGTCTGTCAAAATTGCCATTTTACCAGTGAAGATTTATCTAAAACTGACACTAGGTAGAGATTATTATAAGATTATTAAAAGATGTTTTATAATTTGTTTGTTTGTAATTAACCACAAAGCTACACAAAGAGCTATCTGTGCTCTGCCCACCACCAGTATCGAAACCTGGTTTTTAGCATTGTAAATCTGCAGACCTACTGCTGTACCACTAAGGTGACAAGTTTTATAATAGTTTGTATAATAATAGAAAGTGTCTGAACTTTTTATAAACTACTTACCTGAAAACTTAATGTAGTGAAATGCTCATTGCAGATGCGTGAAAAATTTGGTTGGAGTCAAATCCTTTCTATGGAGTAAATTATAAAAATCAATCTTCAATAGAGTTTGTAGTTGTAATGAAAACATAGTAGTAGTAGTGGGAAATATAATACTTCTATCTTTTAATGCTTCCAAACAGATTAGTTGTTTATATTTGGCAGTTTCTAAACCAAGGCCTAAATCTTACATTCAGTCATTAATGTGTAGCAATACTTTGTAACAGACTAATATAAAACATCGCTACAATAAGGATCATACAAAAACAATTTATTAAAATATAACAGAAATCTAAAATAAAACTTTCAAACAACTACAAATTTATCAATTAGAAAATAGTTAGTAATCCCGTGCCGGCTAGGACTAGGTACAAAAGTTAATAGACAATACCACGTAAATTTCAATGTTATTAATTTCAACAAATAAAATAATTAAGGAAAAAAGAACCAGAAGAAGAAAAGCTTATTTCGAAAAACAAACAAACAATCTTCAAAAAGTAAAACACTTCTCACGATCAATAATAATATCGAGCAATAATTATCAATAATTCTAACTATATCTCGTGAACTAACTAGTTTCATATCAATTAAGGGTTTTTATTTGGTGGTTATATCATGATGTTACATCTCATGTGACTAGCTATTACCATAAATCTACATAATATTTCACACCATTAATATTTGTATGTCACCGCCAGAGGAACTTGTTTCAGGTTCATAATACTGTTACGTCTCTGGTCGTTGGTTAATTACTCATAAAAATTCTTTCAGAGAAACTTCAGCGATACGAGTCCTTTCTTAAATAAAACTAGTTTATTCTTTCCCAATACAACTTTGCAATACACTTAATTTCCACAGTCACTTATACATACGCTATAATTCTCAACGAACGATTCACGCACTTTACTTACTACCGCGCTTGACTCAATTGTTCGTCTATATCTTCAATCTCTCTGTCTGCTATTCAGTTGTTGCCGTCACTTTATTTGCCGGCTTATATACTATAAGAGCTCCATTCTAGCAACCGTTAGGACGTTCGACATGTTCCTCGATCTTTCTAGATACTCATTACGTGTTACCAGCGTCATGTGACCTCCGCTGTAGTAACAATACATACTTAAAATCAACTAGCTCTATCTAGACGATGAATTAGCACTTTAATATAACTATAAATTCATAGTTGAACTTAACTATAAAAGGAACAATAACTAGACAGTAAATAAAACTATAACAAAATAAAAGTAGAATTAGCTATTTCACAACTTAAGCTACCAGTAGTTTTACTAATATATATATATATATATACAAAATACGATTAATTTTAATTTTGAAATAATTAAATTAAACACAAATTTATCAATACTTAAATACCTATGAAAAGAGACTGGCGTTTTTCCTTTTTTGGAACGTTTAAGCACCCAAATATACAACAGTTAAGTGTATTCCTCCAGCATTTATATCTCCGACAAAATGGCGCTCCATTGGCACGTCCCATAATGGCAGTGATCACTTTACTATCTGTTATAAAAAGCACACTATGTATCACTGAGTAATATTGCACGAGCGGGTAAGAATATTTCTTAGTGGAATATTTTGTCCAACTTGTTGTTGTTGTTATTTTAGCCTAAAGCCACACAATGAGCTTTATATGCTCTATTCACCGCGGGAAATCGTACCTAGGATTTTAGCATTTTAAGTAGTTGACGCAGCTGAAGACGTCAAGCAATGAACTTAAAACCCGTATGCAATGTTTTGAAAATTCATCATAATTTGCTATGATATATTAATCCTGTTATGTATGACATATTTTATAAATCTGTTTGGACTTTCCTAGAATAGTATATTAGAGACATTTCAAATTTATAAGACATAAAAAAGATAGAAATGGACAAACTATATATATATAAAGTTTTACGAAATATGAGACTTTTACAAATAAATCTTAATTGTTGTTTCGTTTGTTTTCTCATTTGTCTTACTTAAACTGGAAAAAAAAAGTTATTATTTGAATGCACGCTAAATTCAATATAGGTAAAATAACGGATGACATCTAACTACTTGTATTATCATAACAGAAAAATAAAGATTATTTCAAAAGTTATGATTTTAAATACTTGTTAAGAAACATTTTTTGCTAGAAAAGGAGTTGAGAACAAATTATAGAGCTTGTAATTCCGTCTAAGACAATATTTACATCTCTGACTGACTCATTTAATTGTATATGATATTTTATTATTGTCCTAGATATCAAAATGCTATTAATCAAACATGTTTCTAGAAAATAATAATAATAAATAGAAATAAAAGCACGGATAGAGTTTTACGAGAGACAACGATGAAAAGATTATGCTATGAAAATCATTACAAGAACAGAAAACAAATTTAATACAGACATGAAATATTGTTTTTCCAATAGTTTCACAATTTCTTATATGAAATTATAGAGAAATGTCTTGCCATAAGGAATTAAAAAATATTCTTGATAATTATTATATAATTATGTACTCTTATGTTTATGTTACAAAAGACAACCGGTAGAGGGCAATATAGATATACAAACAGTTTTTTTGCATGTTTTCAGAGTCGTACTGTGAGTATGTCTTGTAGTTATTGGTGTGTGAACGTATTTGTTGAAATGTTTAGTGATACATGCTAAAGTGTAGACTGACCTAAACTTCAACATTCAACTGAGCTAGTGTCTTAAAACTAGTTTTACTCGTTCATCTGTTAATGATAAAATATAGTTATTTTTAAGGGTACCAAATTATTAACCAGGACTAGTAGAACTTATAATTTAACTTTAAGATATACTTCAAATAGTTAACTTGAACTTTGAAAACTTTTAAGTTATTCGGCACCGTGGTTCGTGACGTAAGGACGACTAGCGCGACTCTACGAGGAATCTGTCACGTATGCTTTTGAAAGTTAATTATTTTATTTTTATAAAACTACAAGCTGAAATACTCGTCAGCTGACGGGGAATGTATAAACTTAATTAAAACAACGTAAGTTTAACAGCAATCATACATTTCAAAGTACTAACTTGAACATAAAGTTTTAAAATTATAACAAAGCATTCTTCATAGACAACATTTGCAGTGAGTTTGTTTTCCATCTACCGACAAATAAAAATTTTGAGGTGATCCCACCTTTGAACACCCTACATCTCATTGACCATGAGGAAAGCATGGCTGTCTGAGAAACAGTCCAGCAACTTTCACACATTGACCTTGAATCCTTTCACTTCAGAATATTCAACATTGTTTAAAGCGTCAGCCTGCCGAGATTGAGATTGACTCAATTCAATAGGCTGGGAGTAATTAACCAACAGACAGGCTTTACAAAATAGAAATAATTATAAGGTTAATTTAAATTTGGATCCCCTTAGGACATTCCCCATAGTTCATAGTGTTTACATAAAAGTTTTGGTTGAGATTGGCCCAATAGCCTCGGAGGAGTAAGGCATTAGGGTACAAACAAACACATATTTCGTATATACATATGTATAGTTTATGGTATAAAATTGTCAGTATCATTAGTAATTATTCACTAAGCCTATGTACTTTGTGCTATCTAATATTAAGTAATAAAATGTCAATAGTAATGATTTTTACTTAAAAAGTAAACTATAAATAATTGCTATTTTATTAATAATGCCTATTAATTAATGGTACATGTTATTAATATAAATAATAATACAATACAGCTTGAGTCTTGATAATTTCAAGTCTTCAGATAATGTGACCTAAGAAAAGGATCTTTATTTAGTCAGTTGCTAGGAGTAAAATGTAAAGCTAACTTTAGGGTTTATTGATAGAGATATTAGTTACAAGTGAAACAAGATTATTATTAGTATTTTTTTTACAATGTGCTAGTCAGACCTCTGTTGAAGTACTGCTAATAGGGAGTTTACACATTTTTTTAAACATAACAGTACTGATACTAATGTGTACAGTTTTGGTACCATTACCTAATATTACTATTAGTAATAAAGGATATTGACTTATTTAAGTTATTAGAATGGGTACAGAGGACTGCTATGCTACTAGTATTAGTAATATAATGATTTCAGGTACAGGATGGTTTTCTTTCAAGGATAGGTAAAGATCTCATATTTTACTTTGAGAAAAGAAGGGTAAAAGATGATCCCATTGAAGTTTACAAGATTATCCAGAAGATTAAGAGGGTAAAGACCTATGGTTTTTGTGATATAGTCTGAAGAGGACATAAGTTTAATATTTGGAAAAGACAGATTAGGTTCTAGTTAACAATTGTATCTTTCTGAGACTTAGTAAGAGGGTGATTGACTAGTGGAATAATTTGCCATTAGCAATAGTGGCATCCATGACTTTACATTATTTTAATTGGGAAATCATTGACTCCCTGAAGTTTTAAAGTGAAAAGTAAATGGTAGGCTTAAATTTTTACTTTTCCTTAGAGTGGATATGCAAGGTTGCCTTGATGGACCAAATAGTCCTTTGTTTTTTATAGGTTGTGTTACATAGGCCTATTTGCTAAGTTAGTACCATTTAACTAGCTTTTACAGATTTCTTAAACTTTATGCCTAAGTTAGTACTATGTAACTAGCCTTATGTTTGTTTACAATGGTGTAATAGTAAAACTGTTTGTGCTAGAGCACCAACTAAACCCTAATAATTTTCTGGTTTTTGAATTATGTATGCACATATAGACTGCATATAATTTATTCATGATTACTCTACTTATCAATTAAGTTTATATAATCAGTATACCTGAGTCATAAAGATACAACTGATTAATTATCTGCAGCTTACATAGCATCACCACATCACAAAAGATATTTGTATATACTTCTATTTTTAAGTTGTCGTTTTAAATGTGGATCTTATTATTTTCTAATACAGCATTTGAAACATGCAAGTTAATACTACAAAATATCTACAGTTTAAGTTTATTTTACAAATACATGTACTTTAATCATACAAAAAAAAAGTGCAGGAGCAGCGTTCAGGTCTGCTCTTGCTCCAATACACCAATGTTTATTATTTTATGCTGGCACCATTTAACTAGCTATTTATGAGTTTTTGTGTCTAAGCTGTTACCATGTAATGCAGATACATTGATATTCAGTTAAGAAAAAGAAGGTGTAGGAAAACTACATCTACTGCCTAAAGAAGAGTTAGAAAAGTAGGCCAAACTTCTTTATTTTGATGGTAATATACTTTGGGTGTTTTCTTAATAAGACTTTAAACCAGAATGTCTCAGACCTCATGATTTAGAACATTTACATGTATATGTTATTGAAAGAACTCAAATTTTATTTGAAACTAAAAATTATAATTTATATATATATGTAGATGAAATGTGGGTTTGTTTGCACCCTGACTCCTCCAATCCTTCTGGGCCAATCCCAACCAAAATTTTTATGTAAACACTGAACTATTGGGAATGTCCTAAGGAGGTCATAATTGAACTTAACCCTATTTCTGTTTTGTAAAGCCTGTTGGTTAATTACTCCCAGCCTATTGAGTCAATCTTAAACAACCTTGGCAGGTTGACGTATTAGACGATTTTGAATATTCTAAAGGGATTCAAGGTCAAAGTATGTAAGTTGCTGGATTGTTTCACAAACAACCATGCTTTCTTCATGGTCAGTGAGATAGGATGTTCAAGGGTGGGATCACCTTAAAATCTTTATTTGTTGGTAGATGGAAAACAAACTGGAAATGTTGTTTATGAAGAAACTTGTTATAATTTTAAGATTTTGAAATAAAGTTATTACTTTGAAATATATGATTGCTGTTAAACTTGCATTGTTTTAATTAAGTTTGAACAGTCAGTTGATGGGCATTTCAGCTTGTAAGTTATAAATATTGCATTAATTCAGCAGTTGGATACCTTGTTCTCAGCAGATTTATTTTTAAAAATTTAGATTATTAACTTGTAGTTTTTTTTTATGGATGGATACAAGAAAGTGTTATTGCTGTAGTATATACTTTCTGTTTCTATTTTTTTTTAGAATTATACCTTTGTTAGTTTTCTACGGTTGGTGTAACTGAATTTGATTTTTGTTCCATAGTGGTGTGTGTGTGTGTATTTTTACTTATAGGTGTGGATGTTAAAGATGTGATTTAATAAGTTTGGCTGTTGTTCAGGGGTCTCAAGGACAAAGATGCTTTAATTTACCTATCAGTTTAATGTTACTTTGCTACAGAAACTGAATTGACTACTGTTGTATTATATATTAATACATATATATGTGTTGTAATTGTTTTACAGGTCACTCCTTTAAAATTGTGATATATTCACATTTAAACTACTTGGTGACATCATGTTTTGGCTTATGTCCATCAGCATGTATATCAGTATGCTGGTTTTGCCAGCAAAAACTGACATGTTCACTGCCATAATAGATCTTCAGAAACTTCTTTATACAGAAGCAGAAATTATCAAAACATTGGAACTGTACCTGAAAGCAGAAGAACAAAGACTGGAAAAAGTTAGGCAGTAAGTAAACCTGAGTTGTTTGATTATAGGCAGCAGTTCTGTGAATTACAAGTTATTTCTTCTTGATTTTAAGTTATAGTACTTATATGAGTTAATTGGTAGTATGTCAGTTCTTTATCCCATAGATTTGATACTTTTGTGAAATTTGTTCTTATGAAACTAGTGCATGTTATTTCAGACTTGAAATGTAGTCTGATTACCTTATGAAGTCAAAATATTTTATGAAAAGTAGTTTAGCCATGCAGTTAAGCATAGATTTGGTTGATGAAAAACTTGTTAGTACGTATAAATATCACTGAAATACATTTTAAAGAAGCTGTATTATTATATACAGTAATGGAGGTAATTATGGAAACATACAAACAATACACTTGTACAAGAGTCACAAACTGTAAGTAATTGCAACTACATGTAGATGGTGAATTTATTAATAGTGAAAAACATTATTAAAGAAAATGCAAAAGAAAACTGAACAAGTTGTACAATGCAGTAGAATTTTACATGCAAGCTATTTGCTTTACACAGAACAGTACACCTTGTTTTCTCACTACCCTACAGTTTATCAATGTACAGTTGTGGAATAAGGTTTCAAGTTTTTTTGACCTCAGTTTTTCCATAAGCCCATAAAGCTTTAAGAATGTTTGTGTTGGGACTTTTTGCAGGCCAAGCCATGGTTTTGAGTAATCCATTGGCCTCTTTACCATCAAGACATCATTTCACTACATTTATTGTATGTCTTTGATCATTGTGTTGTTGGAAGATGATTATATGCCTCTGATGGTATGGCATGATAAATTAGAATCTACAGGGTGCCGTTAGTTTAGTGTAAATTGCTAAGACCATTGGCTGAGATGTAGCCCCAAACTTGTATTGGTTTTCAGTTATGCTTCACCATAGATATTGTATATTAATTATGATACTATTCTCCTTTCAGCAGTCAGACATACTGTCACTGATTGTTGCTGAACAATTTGAATTTGGATTCATCTGTAAAGAGCAAATGTTATCCAGCTTTGCTCATTCCTCTATTTGTGGTTTGATGTCATTTCAGCATTATTGTTTGGTTATTTGTTGTTAATAGTGGTTTTTAAGCAAATACACATCCACTGATACCAATTTGTGCTATTGTGTATCTTACTGTTCTCAAGTTAACACTCACACCTGTATTTATAGTAAGCTTGTTGGCAAGATCTGTACTCAACCACTGTTTATCTTGTAAAAATTATATCCTAAATTATTTAACATAACTTTTGGAAAGGTTTGGTTTTCTCCTATTATCCACAGTGTCCATTTCACATTCCCTTTTCAGTGTCTTACATATAGCTCCTATTGAAGTTTGATGTCTTGCCATAATTTACACAAAGTATCATTGTCCAAACAAAACTACACCCTTAATTATGTGGTATTTCAGTTTTAGTAACCATGACTGAATATACTGTATTATTAGTAGACAAAATATGACTGACTAATTTTATAGGCTTTGTACTTGTGTGGCACTTTCTGAGTATGTGACGATGAATTACAGAAACATTCAACACTTGTCTGTACTCTGGTGCATTTCATTTTCACTCTGTAAATGGTTAACATTCCTGTAATATTTGCCTTTTATACCCCTTTAATTCACTGTTTTATTATTACTTCCAGTGCTATTTATATATAAATAGAAATTATTTCACTGCTATAGAAATTTTCACTTTAACTTCCTTCAATTCTTGAATCTACATTGTATAAAAAGATAAATGATTGGAAAACAGAGACTGGTGTATGAGCCTTTTTGATTTGCAGTCTAAATTTTAACGTTTACTGAAGTGTTTGTTTACGAAACAATGTACAATATGTGTGTATGACTTAACTGAAATGAAATATACACCTTGCTCAAATTATTGATAAGACACAATTCAATAACAACTATAGTATATCAAATACAAAATTATGGAAGTATCACTTAACAAAACTTATCAGTGAAACATTCAGAACACACTATTTGGGATAAATTGCCAAAATGTGTATATTTACTGTACAGTATGCTCGTTATTATTATGTAGTAGTAGTAACGACTACTATATATTGTATATATGTCTTAAAAATTGCTCATATTTTTGCAGAGTACGTCCATCTCGTTAAACCTTTTCTCCCATTCTACGTTTTAATGGTGCAGTATGAACAGATATACATTATTTGGCTTATGTTTGGCAATTATCATGAAGCTCAGCTTGATTAGGCATTTTAAGATTGTTAAATAAATACAATTTTTGGTAAGCTTTTTACAACAGTTCTTGTTGTTGGCTTATAGCTAACTCGTATGCTTGTAAGAAGTCACTTTTAGGTCATGTGCATGCTTTTCTTTAAGTTAGTTCTACTCTTAGTGGTCTTAGTGTGTATTGTGTCATTCATCAGAACACCCCCATTCCCTGACATTTCTCTCAAGGTCGTCAACCTCACAGTGTGTCTGCTAATGAAATTAGATGTCTCTACCACTACTGTATGCTGTGTAGTACCCAGACACTTGTTAGTTTTTCTGTATTCAAGTAATGTGATAAATACTTGAAAAATTAGTTGTGTTGTTGATCTTGTCCATTTTCATATATATATATAAATGTTTATACTCTGTGGAAGTTTTGCTGTGAGGAAAATAACTTGCAATTCTGTACAGTATATGGAAGACTAAATAATACAAATTTTCAGTTACAGAAATTAAAGTTTTAGTGTTTTAATTACATGCAAAATTTAAAGAGTTTATGTAGTAACTTTGGATTAAATCTTATTAAAGTTTGATTAAAATTTGTAATCTTTTTTTTTAGCCAAATATTTATGAAATTGCCAAATATTGTATACAATGCATTTTTTAACTTTATAAATATAAACACACGTAGAAAAGAATCACAGTTAGCTACTTAAACAAAAAATATATAGCATCAATCATATCTGTGGCCATACATTATTTTTGAACTTCAAGAAATAATATTTGCATCTTTTATTTCTTTTATAATGTTATTGACTTTGAGTCCATAAAATATCAGAATCTTCAATTATATCTTGCTAGATTTTGTTAGTGTTTTTTTTTATTAAATAACTGTATTTATATTAATAGTATTTTTTTATGGGAAATAATGTTCGGTGTTTCAAATGAGGTCTGACATTCTTATTGGGTAGTTTTCTTATAAAAATGCAGTTTTTTTATAATATGATATTAATGTAGGTGTACAGAATATCTGTTGATGTGTCTGTTATGTACTATCTACATCAGATGTGTATGTATGACAAAAAATATAATTATTTCTACAAGATTTCAGTGTTTTTGTTACAAACAAACCTTTGAAAAGTTGCCGTCTTTTTCTTATAATTTTGTGATATGCAACATAGAGTTTAAGCTCCCTAGTAATCAAGCAGTAGGTGTTCCATTGAATATTTTTTAGTTTATTTATACTAGCTGAGGTTATCTGTTGAGGAAGCAAAAATTGTACAAAGGATAATGTTAATGTTCCTCTTCCTTCTTTTTTTTGTTATTAAATTCCTAATGACTTCATTAGATGCTAATTGCATACTCTGTTTTGTAAAATATAATAATTGACTCATTTAACTGATTAAGTACTGATGTCTTTAAATTCAAATCCAAAAGTTTATAAAAAATTGGAAATGTCCTCCATTTCAGGAGCTCTTTTATTCCCCTTCTCAGGCAAAAATCATGAAACATTGGATAGATGGCTCGATTACCATAATGCTTTGTATGGTAATTTAGCCAGCCAACTCATGGTTGTTAATGCTAGCACATACATACATACATACATATACACACACACACACACACACACACACACACACACACACACACACACACACACACACATATATAATTTTCTTTATAGTAATATGTTGCTTTAATTTGAATATGGCAGAGTTTGATGTTAATTGTACATACAAGATGTTTATTATACTAGAAATAAACAACCTTATTAGACCAGAATATTGTTTTGTCTAATTAGACACTCAACATTTTGCTTTACAGCTTCTTCAGGTGTGTTCAATAAAACACAAACTGAAACCCAGATGAAACATGCTTTGTTTTGTTTTACCCTTTTTTTGTTTTGTATTCATCAGTCCCTCCCTCAACCCTGAAGAAGCTGTAAAGCAAAATGTTGAGTGTCTGGTTAAATAAAAACAACATTTTGGTGTCATAAGGTTGTTTATTTCTAGCATTAATATGTCTTCTACACACCAATATGCACTACAGAAATTAAATAGATGTTTATTATAACCAAAATGACACCCCACTGTAAAAGTTCAGCATAGCACATGTGATACCATTAATAGGTGCTTGGTAATTTCAGAAAAGTGGAACCCATTTTTATTAATTTCTTGCAAGTATTTTTACAATCTAAAATACACTACCTGGTATAATTATTAAATATTTACATACAGGCAACTTTTTCACACTCTGAATTCTACAATGAAGACTTCTTGATTCTGATGTTTTGCAGTGAGTAACAAAGCAACTTATGTTCCTGGAAAATTTCACTCTAAATGTCTGGATTTTTTATTTCTACATTAGCTGCTATGAAAACATTAATGCTGCTCTGTTTCTTTGCACACTATTGTAAATCTATGTTTATATCAAGTTGTTTACTCAACTTAAAATAGGTACCGTAAAAAAAAACATATTTGTGTTTGATTGAGATTATAATGGTACTCTTAACCTACCAACTGCAGCTGCACTAAATGTAAGCTATACACTGTATATGATACACTTGCATTCAACTGTAGGAGAGAGACCATACCCTATATGATGAAACAGCAGTCAGTGGGTTACAATAAGGTTAAAAACAAATCTGTTCATGGTAAAATATAGAGCTAACTGTGTTATTTGTTTTTATATATATATACAGTTAATTGCAATTTTATTTTCTTCTCTGTGTTGCAGAGAAGGGATGGGTGTGAATTAATAGTGAGCATGCTTGGTCAGTGAATGCATCGGTTCATTATTCACAGCCCATTACTACAAAAATGCACTACACACTTTTTTACTTATTTACTATAATAGTGATGTTCAAATTACTCAAATCCCATTATTTGTTCAAATAAGAATTGGCAGTGGATGCCGTTGTCTAACTTCCCTCCCTGTAGTGAGTTCAAAATTAAGTACAGCTATTCCTTTGTGTAGCTTTATACACAGATTTTGAAACAAACATGCAATGATCAAATCTTAGGGTAATATATACTTAGTATTTTGTTAACAGAAAAACAAAGACAAAGGTTTTGTTAATCTTTTAAATTTGCAGTAAATATTAAGTATAAGATGAAGACTTTTTTTTTTTCTTTAAGTTTTGTATTTACAATAAAGCTATTTTTTCTATAGGTTTTATAAATAAAAACTGTTAGAATCTGGCAGTGAAATTGTTATTGAAATGTTTGTGTTTTTTATATTTATGTTGCTATTTATTTATCTTTTATTGAGTGGATAACATTAAAAGTACCATTAATGCTTTGCTTTCAATACACTATAAAATTTTAATGTAAAATCTATGTTCCTTTAGATTAAGACAGGAATATGGACAGATGTATCAACTTGCTAGTCAGGATATGGAGTCATTCATAGCTAACCCAGTAAATGCATATTTGCTAGTTAAAAGACTTACTGCAGACTGGAAAAATGTAGAATATTTGATGCTTGAAGGTGAAGGGAAAAGTAAGCACTGCAGATACTGATTTACTTTTCTACAATTTATCTACATTTCTTACCGGTTGAAAAGTCTTTTAGAAATTGTTTCAGTAAATTTCAAGTATTATCCTATCACTGTATCTTGTATTATTGTTTTTCTTTTTTTTTTTTTATGGTGGATAATTGAAAAAATTATAGAATCTTGTCATCCCTGAAAACAGTTGTAGTTTAAAAGATATTATTATTTTATTAGAATATTTGGAAGTGAAAGACTGGAAATTCATAGGGAATACTATTGCTTTAGTATCTGAGGTGGCTGGTGTTTTTAATCTTTTCTAACCCATAAATCAAACAAGAGCAGTTCATAAACATTTTGGTTTTAGTATTAAGTCTAAAATTGTTTTGCCTTAAGAACCAAACCAGTCCATAAGAAATTTAACCTCGTTAAGAGCCCAGAATGTTGTCCGTCTCAATAACCATCTTCTCATATTGCTATGAAAATATTTAAGAGGAAAATTTATATCTGAGTGTAGATCCAAACTGGTCTGTTTGTTGTCTAACTTTTCTCCAAAAATAAATCTAAGAGGTATTATAAGTATTTTGGCATGATTCGCTAATTTTAGGTTTTTACAGCCATTTGGCATAAGATAAAACTTGTGCACTGCAATTAGATGTAACAAGAAATCTGTTAACAATATAGGAAAAGAAATTCTAGGCAAGTACATTATTTAATCTGGATAAAAATTGAAGTGACCAGATAAACACTGTAGCTAGACATTTACCAAAACAGATGCAGTAACATTAATTTTTTTTTATTATGAGCCAAGATAATGGTTCATAATAGGGATCACAAGGAGTTGCATAAAACCCTAATTGAACATTTGGGGAAAAGGACCTAAAATAGTAAAGATTCATTGCAAACAACACTTTAAAATTTTACTATTGACTGCTAAGGCTGTTTACATATAAAAATTCACAAAAAGAGTGCATGTTGGACTTGCAAGGAAAAGAAAATCCACTCGAATAATAGCCCATTTGTAATTATTATTATTATTCTCTTGCCAGCCTACAACAAAAACAGCTTGGTACATTGCATCAAAACCTTTTGTAGAATACTAAGTAAGGTACTGTGGAGGTTGTACACGTATAAAAGTGCACAAAAAAGCACACATTTGACTCCATCAAATTTCATCATCA